GCGGAGCCCGCGGCTCTGACGGCCCGAACTGCTCCGCGTTATTTATTGCTCGTTTTGTTCTCTGGGATGGTATGACCCCCTCTTAGGATTTGTGCCCTTTCATTTCCAGGCCTCAATAACTCCTGCGCTACGGTTTCACGCGGTTTTGTGATTGTTAACCCAGCATGCAGACGGAGCTACGGCCATAAAAGCTCAATGAATCTTGTACGGCAAAACACAGGCTGTGAAAGCCTTTTCTCCTTCATTTGCAGTCAAAGAACACACTCTCGCCACCACGAAAGATGCAACAGCAGCCAGGTTTTCCAAGGAACAGTCTTCCCTCATTGCTGTGCAGAGGAGAAAGGACTATTTCTGCTCAGAGCATCACTGCGGTCTTTCAACAACTCATCAGAAGAACGGTCCCTGAAAGATGAACCCCCCCCTCCTAGGCCTGTAAAAGCTCTCTGAGCTCCCTTTCCTCCCATCAGCTGCAAGACCCACCACGGTGCACGCAAAAAGAGACAAAAGGGCCTTTACCTTGTGGTTTTTGCCATGCCGGTACATCATCCAGTCCTCCCCGTTGGTGCTGACCTCCAGCTTGTAGGTGCGGACGTAGTAGCCGTTCTGCGTTTCTCTGGAGATGGCGCCCTGCGTAGCAATGGCTGTGAGCACTGTCAGGAAGTGGAGGTCCACCTTTCCGGAGGAGAGAGGGACAGGAGAGGGAGTGGTGACCACCTGGGAGCCCAGACTGGCTCGTTAGGTCCTCCCTCCACCTTTGAAATATGAAAAGGTGCCGACTCGGCCTATCTCGCTCCGTCCATGGCTGCGCGCAGGATCCCAAAAGACCTGTAAGAACTGACTTGAATGGGCACAAAAGCCCTGGGCTGACTTCTGCAGGATGCTTGTGAGTAGGACCACAGGGAAAAACCGATTAAGGATCTTGATGTCTGTCCGTATGGGACCATCACAAAGCCTTCTCCCTGCCTCAGACCGGGCAACAGGATCTGCATAGAGACTGGAAGCTCCTGTCTGTTAAAACAGGACAGAGGCTGACTTTTTCCATGTGAAAAAGAAGCATGATGTCCAATTAGCAAGTGCTGCCGTCCTTGGTTTTCCCTTTCTTTTTTTTCACAATGTGGGTTGAGAAAGGTCAGCAGAGCTGGCTTGGTAGCGCTGCCATGAATGAAGAATGAGACATCTGCTTGAGGCACTGACATTTCACCACCTCCCCTCCTTAGTGCCCTTTAGCAAGCAGTGTCTCACGGCGATGTAACACTGCCAGAAACTCTTTGTGGCCAGAGATTGTGGATCTAGCCAGGTCCTAGGGAAAGCCTTTGCTCCCCCAGGCCCCTACGTGACGTTCAGCCCACTCGCACTCCCGGCATCACTGCTGGGATAAATATTATTCTAGCTGTTTCTCCACATGCCTCCTTGAGCCTTTGGTCCTCTGGATGGTAGCAGAGCTCGCTTAGCACTCTGGAAACTCCTCCAAGGTTTTGGGGGAGGAAGAGGGGGTTGGAGAAGGCCAGTGGGTCGAGTCAGCCCTCGTGCTGGCACGTTAATGGCTGGGCTTTGTAAGGGTGACCTGGCCTCCGGCGCAGCCACCAAGCGCTCACGGGGGGTAACCTGGGTGCCCCTCGGCCACCCCCTG